TGAAGTTGTCGATGAATTGAAGGACTCACAATTAAATGACTCAATTGATCACACCCCCCAGATCAGCCCCGAAAAATACTCAAAATTAAAAAAAAAAATTATTTTCAGTAAAGTTGAATTTGCTTAGTGTATCTATGTTGGCCAAATAATTTGCTAAATTTACATTCAAAAGAAAAAAAATATATTAGTCTTTTGATTTAATTCAAACTTTAAATCATTATATCTTGCCGAAATATCAATCTTTTTTTTTCCTAAAATCTTAAAAAATTGCTCACTACTACAAGAAATTTGCTCCGTTATAAAATGCTTCAAAACTAATTTTTTTTCTTATAAAAAAATTAAAATATCGTAATTTATATCGTAAGCAAATCAAATGGTCAGCGCACGCATGCGTCAGCTTACGGATTCTGCGCAATCGGCGCTGCTGATTACTTGTGTGTGTGTGTGTGTGTGTGTGTGTGACGCTGAGTGTGCAAATATATCAGCTGATACTCAGTATACTCAATAAGTCGAGAGCGCAAGTTGGTTTACAGAGATTAAGTAGTTCATTTTTGTTTACCAGTTGTAGAGTTGTAGCGACAAAAGTAGGCAAGTTAAACATGCTTTTAATATTTTTATTTTCAAAAAATTTACAGTTTATATTTCACATAAAAAATAGCACTTAATTTTATAAAAATTTGAGCCTTCATGCTATGTGTTTTACAGTACTTGAGAAGATCATTCCTCTCTTTCCACATACCATTCAATTGTCTACAAAAGGCTATGTAGTGGCCTATTCCTTGGGATGTAAGAGGTGGGACATATTTCACTGCTCCACATAAAATGTACGTCTCATTTTTTATTATTAATTTTTGTGGAATGTCATTTAAGTTTGACACAAGATTTACATTTTCCATTCCTAGTTCTTTAGCATAACTAGAATGGGTATATGCATCATCTATGTCTATCCATAGATAAGGACCTAAATCATAGCGACAACAGGCACTTATGCAGTTACAATTACTACAGGTAAACACTTTATTTGACACATATTCATTTAATTCAGCTTGTAAATTAGTAAAATTATGTTTCCACACTATATCTAAATTTGGCAAGGGAATAATGAGTGAGTTGCTTTCATCTACGATGTTACACAAACTACACTGCATAATTGTTTTAGAGCAATTGTACTGGCTCATCAATTTTGTAAACATTGTAGCTACGTTAATGTTACAGTTAATGATACTGTCATTCACATCAAAATGTGAATACAGTAAGTGCACTCTGGTTGAATAGAGTGATGCTCTGATTCCTGACACTTTATATTCGTTTATCATTGTTGCAAAACATAAATGATCACTATGTAATTTTGGATTTTTATTGTCAATAATAAAATCTTTAAACATTTGGGATATACTGCAGCCATTACCAACAATCTCTGCAATACAGTCATAAGCACATGTGTTCATTAAAAAGATTTTCTTTTTCTTAACCAAAATAGGTTTTAATTTATTTCCATTTTGAATGTTTGAGTGATCATTTTTGTTTTTGCTATGAGGCATTTGGAGACGAATATTAATTTCTGCATCAGGAGAAACAAAAAAACCTCGACTCATTGGATAATTTTTTTTATCTGACTGCTTGTCTAAATTAACCAAGTCTTTTGTAAGATGTGCTGGAATACCTGAATCAGCTTCTTTTGAAAAACTTGACGATGCTTTAATACTTGTTGTGAACTTTGAATAGCTATGATCAGTCAAGGATGCAATTGATTCTTTTGATATTTCCAGGTTTATCTCCTCTTTTTACATTTGAGCTTCATCAGATTTGATTTCTTTCTCCTTACTGTTTCGCATGATCAATTCAACATCATTCATTGGTAAATCTTCAACGTCACTAAGTATAAGGTAATCAGAAATATCTTGCGTATGTTGATTATGCCAAATTTCTATGGCTTTCAGATGATCTTTCATGTTATGTTTTTTTTCTATTTTCTTTTTCAGTTCATTCTTTTTTTGGAAGTTCTCTAATGCGGCTCGACCTAAAATGATGTCTGATTCAATTGCATCACAATGTTCAATGAGAAATTTATCTACTCTTTGGAGGACTTTTTGTGAATCTCTTTTAATTTGGCCAAAAAAAGTTTCAGATCGAGCTGAACAAGCGACACTTCTTGAATTATCAAAATAATGATTCACAACATTTGTCCAGCATGGAAATTCTTTACATAAATCTATGAGAGATTTGGCAAATGATGGAAGGTAATAGTCGTTTTCTTGAACACCAATAAAAGATTTGCTTTCATTTTCAATTACTTTTAGTACTGACATTTCAATTCTTTTTACAAAAGCATACGTTAGTCTATCTTCTTCATTTTCTATATATTTTAAATTGTTGAAATGATCATCATTATTTGAGTCAGATTCTGGACAACTATCAATAAAACTATAAGTTTGTAATGTACATCTAATTTCATTCATTGCTTTGACGTAAATGTTTGTGCAGTATTGACTATGTGCTATAATAAGAATCTTTTTTAAACAAGTCGTAAATTGCGTTAAGTTGTCAATAGTTGTCATGTAACCAACCCATTTTTTAAATAATAATGCCACTGTACTTTTTTTGTTATTAAAACAGGTCCATCTTGTCACTGCTCTAATCAGATGGGCTATATCTGTTTTTAACTGGGTATGTAATACTATACTTAATTTTTCTCCTGTTGACATTCGTAAGCACAAATCATTGTATGTACTAAAACTAACTGAATTGAATGCTTCTGTTACAGAGTTTTGTAATGCTTTTCCCATGTCTGTTACAACTTGTGTTGGGATCTTTGCACCAGCCTGTAGCCAGCAATGCAACCAAAAAATGTAAAAATTGGTATCATTTTTTTCAGACACACATTGAGCTACTGGAATGATTGAATTTTCAATATAGGTACTTAAAATGGTTAAAAATATATTACTTGAGTCTCCATCAGGTCGTTTTATCTTGCATGCTATTGATCCTGTCGCATCTAAAGAAAAAAGGTTACCTATTGTTTCAAGTAGATCATTGTGAATGTCAATCTGTTCTGGAGAAAAATACATGACAAAAAATTTGTTTAATCCAATGTTTCTTATAAATTTGTTATTCAACACTGGCTTTAATTTTCTCTAATGAATCAAACAAGCTAATGCCAGATTTTATCCCCAACTTTTTATTTTTGCCATCTTGTTTTGCAGTTTGCAATTGCTTTAAGCTATATAGTTGAGGGGATTCCACATCTCCATGATTCATCAACTTCTTTGCATTTTCTCTTCTCCATTGCTTTGATGACTGGTTTATTAATTCTTTTTCTACCGTATTCTTAACATTCTTTTTTAATTTTGTTTTTTTCGTATGGGGTAGATGTCTACAATCAAGTGTATTCACTTCAAATTCAATAACGTCAGTGCCTTGCAGAGTATTATTTGGTTTTTCTTTGAGAATTATGTTGATTGGATACAGACTAGTTGTACAAATTCCTTCTGCTTTTAAATAAACATTCATCTTATTCATTTTATGTCTTTGGAAACTATATGCACAAGGTAATTTTTCAGTCTCCCGTATAATTTTTCTAAATAAATCTGTCCATCCTTCTCTCAGGCATTCTTCATCTTTTGACTCAATTTCAAGTGGGCTTATCGTATCCCATTCAGCCTTTGTCAAAGAAATGTTAAAATTTAGCCTTGTACCTTTCCTTGGAACAATTCTTCTTCTTTTAGCTGATGATTCATCTATTTCATTTTCATCTTCATCAATATCAAAATAATAACTCCCATCATTCGGTTCACTTTTAAAATTGTCAATGACTGTATTTTCTATATTTTTATACTTGCAATACTGAGTTAATACGTTATGTCTATCTTGACGTACAAAGTTATATAAATTGACTGGATTTATTTCATTATTTAATGAAGCACATATTTCTGCCCATATTTTGTGGCTTCTACATTTGAGCTGTTCATTTTCAAATAAACTGGAATCAAAATTGATTAATTTATCTAATATGTCTGTAGATGAAACTGCTGCTGGTCTTCCCCTTTTCTTTGGATGCATTTTTATTCAATCTATAAAAAGGCAGATTAATTACTTTAATCTAAAATTTTTTTCTAACTATTACTCTTACAATATATATATTGAATAATAATATTGAATTGTTTTTATTTTTATGGATTTCTTATTTAAAAAAAAAGAACTTGAGCTTTTAAAATTGAATATATACATATGATTATTAATTAAATTTCATTGTATTAAAAAATGAAAAACTATTTGACTTGTTACAAAACATCGAAGGGTCAAATCTATGCAAATATCATTGGAACGGATCGCGAAATATCAAATCTAATTTTATATAGTTATATGACATTTATATGACGTCTTATTTATTGATATGAATTATAACATTAATAGTGTTTGATTTTTTGTATAAAAATAAATATTTATTGCAATATAAATATGCAAACTATAAATATAATTTCTTTTACTTGATTTACCTTTTATCGCTCCATACACAAAGAAAGTTTATACAGCCATATTAAGAAAAACAAAAGACGATCGGCTACAATCGCTGACGCATACTACGTGCAAAGTGGTAGACGTATATTCGATTTCGTTAGTTTAAATTTTAAAAATGGATTCTATACATACATTTTTATTTAATAGAGAAATAGGAAATTTCTACAATCTTAGATGGAAAATAAAAAATAAGATTCCAAAAATAATACAAACTGATATGTGTAGTGTACAAATGAAGGAAAGAATAAAAGCTGCTCATACAACAAACTCAAGAGATCAATGTATCATTTTTTTACATATTCGTCGATTGAAATATTATTCCTCTACATACAATTTGCTTTTTTGGACAACAAATCAGAAAAGTTTGAATGGAGTTATAGACATTGATGATTTTAATGGAATATGCTTTACTTTTTATTTACAACATTTTATAATGTGGGATATAAGCAAGTATTTTCAAGACAACCAAATGGATTTTCCATTATATTATTTTTTTATTCATGAAGACACATTATTGTCAAGAAGTACAGAATTCAAAAATTTTTTTAATCAGATATTTTATATTCAAATCACTTTGCCTAAACATAGTATATCATATGATATCATAAACATGTTCGTAAACAAGTTTGAAAATATATATGAATGCAAAAAAATGGAAGATTTCGACTTGGATACGATCAGGATGTGTTGGTCAATTAGTTCCTTAAAAACACTGGAGAATAATATTGGTGTTATCACAGATTTTATGCAGACTTATTTATCATTAGGTAAATGCATTACATATAACAAAAAACTATTCGATTAATAAAATCTTAATAACTGTTCCGTTTGTAGGGCATGGTCCGTTGAATGTTTCAAAACAGGTTTTTGAATAAATGTTGGCATAGTTCCACTTGTCCAATCATCCAAACGAGACATGCATTCACATTCAAGTCATATTATGTTATTCAATCTTCTCTTTCCGCATAAGAAAAATATCAATGCTGTCTTCTAATTATTTATGATTGGTATACTTCAATGTCGATATTCGATAGCCCAAGTGCTTTTAAATTCATAGTTGCATGAAAAGCTGTTAATAATTTTTGACGAACTTCCTTGGGCACAAAACGATAACTGATGTTCATGTACACAACAAATAACTGAAAATAAATGAATAAAAAATACATGACACATTTCTTAATTGAAAAAAGCTCATGCCTTGTGATTTTCAAAAACCATATTGATTGATAGAATACAAGTATGTACAATACCTGTTCTCCTAGGTATAGGGCGATCAACATAGGCAATTATTTCATTGTTTTCTAATTTTATCAGCACTGTATTAAGACAATAGCTGTGGTTAAAAAGACTGCAGAAAGGGACAGCAACAAAACCCAATACACCTAGTTCAAAATCACTGCAATTACTAGAAAATTGAAAAGAAAAAGTTGAATAATTGTAAAAGAAAAATATCAAATAGATTTTTTTTCCATAAACGGATATAATTATTATTGTCTTATGTTAATACCCCTGGAAAATTACATGGTATTTGGAAATGTAGTCTTGCAATAAGCCAACTAAAAAATAGAGTATCATTTATTAAAAGCAATTCATCTGGATCTTTAGGTAACTTTATTCCAAATAATCTAGTACGTGTAGCTAAATAATACATTAGTGCTACAGCATATAATGGTGTTACTGATCTATCTTCTGGATTCAAATTTGATATTCTATGTACAAAAAATAATAATAAACAATGACGCATAAACAAACTAGCAATATACTTGTTACTCAGCCACTCAGCGTCACACATACACACAAGTAATCAGCAGCGCCGATTGCGCAGAATCCGTAAGCTGACGCATACGTGCGATGACCATTTGACTTGCTTACGATATAAATTACGATATTTTAATTTTTGTATAAGAAAAAAATTAGTTTTGAAGCATTTTATAACGGGGCAAATTTCTTGTAGTAGTGAGCAATTTTTTAAGATTTTAGGAAAAAAAAAGATTGATATTTCGGCAAGATATAATGATTTAAAGTTTGAATTAAATCAAAAGATTAATATATTTTTTTTCTTTGGAATGTAAATTTAGCAAATTATTTGGCCAACATAGGTACACTGAGCAAATTCAACTTTACTGAAAATAATTTTTTTTTTTAATTTTGAGTATTTTTCGGGGCTGATCTGGGGGTGGTCAATTGATCTTGCATAGGTGAAAAAGCCACATTTGGAAGTGAAACGTAATAACAATATATTATGTATTAATTAATAGATAAATTGTCATTAACAATTTTTATAAAGTTGCAAACATATTGTCCAACCTATAAATTTCTAGAAACTATTGTACTCGATTTAATTCAAGTAGTCATTAATAGCATAAATTTTTATTATTCTTCACATGACTATTCAGGCTAGAAAGCTTGAAATATTGAAAAAACATACGAGGTCTGTACAAAAAGTATTGCGAATTGTGTATTTTTTCAAAAAGTATTTATTTAATCATGAATATCCATTTTGTTCCCTTTATAGTAATGCCTATCATATATAACATACTTGTGCCGGAGTTTTTTCAATCTCTTCGAAAATTATTTTTTTTAATTTTCTTGTATAATATAATAAAATAAACTTTTTTAGGAAAATTAGATTTCAAAGGTCAAATATCTCCAGAAAAAATGATACCAGAGAAAAGGTCAAAAGATATGAATGTCTCAAAATCCATAGAAAATGAAGAATCTCTCGATTCGGGTATCTTAGATTATGAAAATATTGATTTATACCAAGCAGGCTCAAGTAACTCTTCTGATAGGACTGAGCTGTCCAAGCGTGAATTTGATATGTTATCACGAAATTTATTAAAAAAAAAACAAAAGCCAAAAAAGATTTTTCATAAAAATACTAGTAAAAAATCTAATGACAACAATATAAATGATTCAAGTAACCTTGACATAGCAACCAATAATGATGAGGACAGTGAGACTAGTATTCTCGATCAAAAGTCATATTTTTCCAACTTTGGTCACAAAGAAAACATTACCAATAATGGTGGCGTTACGGTTAGTATACACTATCTTGTCGTTGATTGCGTTCTAAAAATTAATTTTAAAGTCTACTCGCATGCCAGTTTTAAGTTTTTTGATAATAATATTGCAAAAAGAAATGCTAAAAGGACTACTTGTATTTTAAGACAACGTACATATGGTTCAATGAAAGTTTCAAAATGTTATACGACGACTGGAAGAATTTCCTTAACGTAAAAGATGCTAGTAAATTTACGAAGAACCTGTTAAGAGTAATGAACACAAGAGATGATGGATCTTACGTAGAGGAGCTGAGCAGAAGATGCATAGCTGCAGACAAACCTTCGCTCACGCCAAGAGGAGTGAATCGAAGGATTCCAATTACGTCGTTAGAACACATGACAATAGATAGTAAGAGCATCAGATTATTATTAAGGTATTGAGTTGAGTTGTCTTTTCTGTTTTAAATGTAAATTTTTTGTGTTACAGAATGTTTATCTTATTTTTGCCAAAAGAAACTGAAACTTAATAAAGAAGCGACAAGGAAGGTAATAGCGAAGAAAAATAGCTTCATAACGGAAGACATCAATGCATGTATAAAAAAAATGAAAAAGATGAATGAATCATAATTATTCTAAGTAATACTTTCTTATTTACTGATCTTACTAAATGGATTCCAGATGAATTTTTCAGAAAATCCAGGTGAATTTTATTTGTGTCTTTGATTATAAATATGTACTAAAATGTCTCCTGTTAAATTATTGTTTTAAATATCTTCTACTCCGACAAATATCAATATTAAAAAAAAAAAAAAAAATACTTTCCCTTAGCGGGGCTTCAACTGACGACCTCTTGCACTTTAGCCTGACACTTTACCACCTGAGCCATTGTATCATCTTGATTTCAGTAGTATGATTCACTTACATAGCTTATTCTTGTTGGAGACAACACTCTTCCAGTCATGGATTTTTTTCGAACTTCTCCTACGGCCCTGATTTGTATAGAAATATAATAACGTTGAAGGATTCTGTTCATGGATTATTAAAAAATTGAAAAAATAATTGCTTCGAAAGGAAATAAGGCTACAGACCCCGCCTGAGCAAAATCCATGACCAGAAGATCTGGTTACTGCTTGTCAGTTTACACGTACAAAGAATCATTATTAAATGTAACTAGATTATCATTATTAAATGTAAGTAAATTATAACTAATTTTCATTCAATCCATTCTCCCTTTTTTTTGCAAATTTTAAACTACCTGAGTTTTCTGGAAGAACCAATTGGAAAATCCACATAAATTTTCTAGAAAAACCACCTGGATTTTGGTAGAAAATACACCTGGGATTGCCGATAACAATCCACCTAGATTTTAGGAGAAATCCACCCGGATTTGATGAGAAATCCATATGGATTTGAGGAGAAATCCACCTGGATTTGCCGAGAAATTCACCTGGATTTGACGAGAAATCTACCTGGATTTGTCGAAAGATCCACCTGTATTTGTCGAGAAATCCACCCGGATTTGTCGAGAAATCCAGCTGGATATCCATCCTGGAAATCCAGTTCAAATCCATATGGAATCCATATTAATCAAGCTAGATATCTAGCTGGATTTTTTCAATAGGGTGGTTTATATGAAATGATAAACGTGGCCTGCTCTTCATTACATGCGATATGCGACTGATTCTTGCCTTCTGTCAGAATTAATGTGCAAGGAAACTACTATATTATTTAATAAATATTAAAAGCACCAAAAATAAAATTGAGTTAATATGAAATAAGTTTATAAAAACTTGATATTCACTTTTCTATTGCAAGCCCATACACTGTATTTCTTTTTAATTGTGAATTTCGAAATATAGAATAACAACAAAGTCGTATTAAGAAACGTTAAGATGGTCGTAACAAAAAGGCTCCCAATATGCAGCCAACTTTTCGATCCTCCAAGAACTCCTCCCTATTCCACTTATTCCACGTGTCCAGTTTTCAATGCGGTTTCGCGCGCAATGTAACGCTTCGTACCTCGATATGTCGAACTTCGTACAAATAATTTTAAAGATTTTAACAAAATAATCTGTTTTTTAAAGTTTAAACCCAATAACTAATTACAATAAAAAAAAATAAAAATAAATACACAACCATCCATTTTTCATGACGTTTCGCTGGTCTAGTGCCCAGACTAAATATGGTTGGAGAAGTGCTAATATTTTGCAAAAGTAGAAAAAATTCAAATAATAGTAATTAACGATACAAGGGCGATAAGTGACACTTAATGGCCCGGCGAGTTTGAGCCCGAGCGCCAGCAAGTCAAAAATAAAATTAAAAGAAAAATCATGAAAAAACGTGGTTGCGGTTAGATCCATGAAAACACGCTCTCCTGGAACCATCTGTGTTCATGTTTATATAGATACATATACATGACTTATATCTTCACTCTTCCAAGCAGTAAAGTTGGAAGCTGGTTCATACAAGTCAATTATTTTAAATAACTGTGTAATTCACAAATAGTAATATTTTAAAGTAGTTTTATGATTTCAATAAGATTTTTAAAAACTTGTAGATGTCTTTATGAAATAGCATATATGAAGATTTGATATATCTATATTGTTTTTAGAAAAAAGTTTTATATTTTTGTATAAGTTTTGTAAGTTTTATAGTTTTATATTTTTGCATGTTAAAGGCATGTTTAATAAAAGTAAATTTTGAAAGATAAGCTTTCTTTTCTAATATCACAAAATGAAAACTTTAATGCAATAGGTTTTTGAGATTGTAAATTTATTATTTCAAATTATTTCAAACTACTAAAAAATTTTTTTTTAATTGTTTAATAATTATAAATATTTCAATATTATTAAAAATTAGAATTATACTACACTGCTGTTATTTAAAATCAAAATTTGTTATTACCTTGAAATGAATGAATTTTGCTTGAAAAATTTTATTAGTCAATATAACATACATAAGCTGTTATAAACTAACCTAAAACTATCGATACGGTTGCGCGTTCGTGATTGAAAAAAAGACCGTCATTCTATCGGGCCGTAAGTGTAAGACCGTCAGTGTACCGGGCCCTTATGTTGTACTTATCGCCCGAAAAAGTGGGCTATAGATGCGGATTGATGGCCCGCAGGGCTATAAAAGAATTTTTTTAATTAATATGTGATTTGTAAAATATTGGTAAGGTTTCAATTTATTAAGTCTCGTAGTTTATTAATGTCGAACAGCCGGTATGTTGGTTCGCCCGTCGATATTGGTATTAAATTTTCGGTTTTCATTACTGTGTATAAAATTGCTCCTTTGGGATTTGGAATCTTTTTGGATTAATATTAATCCCCACCATGGATGTTTAGCATTGTGATTACCTCCTGCGAGAAATTTTTCAAGCTGTCAAAATATTTATTGTATTGCTCTTTGGTTATTTTGTGTCTAGGGAAGGCAGTACAACGCTGAGAATATTATTTGTCTGTGATTGTCCGTTATTTGCTTATAATATAGTCGTTATTATGTTCTTTCATTTCATGATGTTTTATGGTGCTTATGATTAGTATTGCTGTCCCTCCGTATACTTTGCCATCAGGATGGTTCGTACTATATATCATGTATCATAGAATTAAAAAAAAACTTTTGAGTGTGAAGTGAGTTTCAAATATTAACTGTAACCGGTGAATTAATTCGAGCTTCAGCCCGCGCGGGCCCTCGCACTTATTACCGTCGCTATGAATTCGCCCGATCGCTGTGAAACAAACAAAAAAAAAGAAATACGCAAAAGGTGCTGGCCAGTCTTCCGTAG